AGTTTCTGCTGTTGGGTGTGGCCTATTATGCTAATGAGTTCCTGCTGGGCGTGGCCAACTTGGGAGCCAGCCGGAACTCCGTTCCTGTAGGTTCCTGCCCCCAAATAGCCCTGCCGGTGGGCATCCCTGAAGTGGCGTAATTCTGTAAGGCAGGGATCCCCAGCATGGGGCTCGTGGCTTCCGTGGTGCCTGCCAACACCTTCTGTGGTGCCCACAAAGTGGGTTTTTTTTTTAAGTGAGTGGGGCTTTCGCCCAGCAAGGCTTCTGATTGGCCACCAGAGACCACCTCCTATGACAGCCAATCTGTGGCAGCCATTTTGTGCCTGCCTGCCTGCACCACACTGTGTCAGTCATGTGAGTCTTTTGATGATGTTTTTCAGCTTTGATCAAATTCATATCCACTCACGTACCCAGTCCCACTTCTGGTCACCCCATTTAGTTGTTGTTGCTTTTTAAAAGAGTTTCTAACCCCCTCTTTCCAGTAAAATAGGCCCTGTTTATAATAAATAGAAATAATACAAAATATAGCAATGAAACAGGAACAACAAAGCTCAGCGAATTGGACGAGGAGGGAATTCCGTAACTTATATAATAATACAAAATATAGCAATGAAACAGGAAAAACAAAGCTCACCGAATTGGGTGGGGAGGGAATTCTGTAACTTACATGTCACCATAGAAAGACCCCTTTTGGGATAACTACCCAGAAGGCAATAGGGCACTAGGAGAAGGGTCTCACTGGATGAACTTAATTGATGTACAAGACTGTACATGCATAAGCAGACAACATCAGCACTTTGAATTGTACTCGGGAAACAAACTGGGAGCCAGTGAAGTTCTATCAGACTTGGGGAAATACGTCCTCAGTGGCTAGTTTGGCTGCTGGACCAGATGACATCACTGAACAGTCTACAATGGTAGCCCCATGAAAAGTGCATTATGTTAATCAAGACTGGATTTACCTGTGCAGACAGAAGGTCTGAAAAGAAGCAGACAGCAAATCCAAGTGGTTTCAGGAGTGCAGAGCTTGGTGTGAGGGACACTCAAGGGACTTTTTTCAAGATAAGCAGCCAGGATGAACAGGTGCATGCAGAAGAGGACACCTCTAATAGTTTCATAGTAGAAGTAAAGTTCTGCAAGTGCAGCTTTCCTCACCTCTGGGTGACCAATTGCATGTGCCAAAGTCCCCTCTTCTACACAACTGTTGAAAATACAAAAATATCCTCCTCTCCTTTGCATCCAGTCACCTGAACAGCTGATCATATATAATTGTCTCACCAAGTTGCAGACATTGCCTATCAATTGTCCATCTAGCATTATCTCTCTGTGTGTGTTGCTTTACAAAGAAGGAAAATATCTGGCCCAGAGGGTAGATAGTCTATTGGAAATTTTGCTACTAGCATCATGATTTTCTGAACCTGCATGTCACCAGTAACTTCAAAGAGGTCCACAGAATACCACTTCAGATATAGCTCCCAAAATATTCATTTACTTTGTGCTATTCGTCTTTTGTTGTTGTTGTTGCAAAGGCTTCAGGGAGGCTGAAGTCCAATGAGCTCAGAGTAGACAAGTATGTTCCAGGGTGTGACCGGAATCTGTCCTCAGCAATTCCCATGGCAGCTTCTTTGATGCTCTCTTGTCCATGGGTTTACCCTAAAAGAAGACCAGATGCCACATCCTCAGATCAGATATAACAGCAGTGTCTCTCAAGTCAACAACATGGTGACAGAGGGGGACATGGTGACGGAAGGGAACCTTCACATTCAATGGCACTAAACCTCTGAATCCCAGAGCCAGGAAGACAGGGCTTTTATTTCTGGGGGAACGCCCCGGAACAGAGTTCCAGAACCTCTTCAACAAAATTCTTTTTAAAATGATTAAAAGTTCACAAGTTTTTAAGTATACAGATTGAAAACTTCATTTTCCTCTTCAGAGTTCCGGCACCTCTTAAAAAAAAAAAAAAAGCCCCCCCGGGGGACACAACATCAAAAGAAGGTCTTTGGCCCCTATACCCTGTTGTTGGCCCTCCAGAAGAACTGGTTGGCCACTGTGTGAGACAGGAGGCTGGATTAGATGGACCACTGGTCTGATCCAGCAGGGATCTTCTGATGTTCTTATGCTCTTAACATGAGCTTAAAAAGAGAGGCTTCACTCCATTTATATATCTGCCATCATCTCCAACCATCTCTTTTCTCCACATTGGCATTTTAGGATGGAAAGGGCCAAACTGGTAAGCCGAGGAATGCCCTGCCTTTACAGTCAAAGATGGGTTTGTTTCCACAAAGAACAATTAGTTTTCTTCTCATCTGCCAAGGACTTCCACTGGTGGGGTTGAAAGTGCAGCTGCGTCTTTTATTTTTGGAAAAAATATATTTTTTTTTGCCCTAAGATACAAAACAAAAAATGCAGCCCACCTGATCTTGATATGCTCTTTCCAGATTTCTGTTTTTCAGTTATGTCCGTTATTTAGAACAGGTTATGCAATCAGGCAATTATTGCTATGCTTCTTTACCAAATCGCACTTTAAAAAGAAATCACTCCATCTACAGTTATCTGCCGTATCATTGTTTTGCTATCTCAAATGTATAAAATGTATAGAGGTGGCTTTTCCCTAAGAGATTACAGTCACAATAGTGCGAGGAGGGAGGGCAGGAAAGCGAGGAAGTAAGCCCCGGACTTACCATGACAGCATTATCCCTAATGGAGGCTTCTCTCCACCTCCAGCACTGGAGGTGGCAGAGCCTGCCCCATAGCCTGAAAATGATAGGTGGACTGGTGGGCTCCTGGACCTCCCAGAAGGCTTGGCTGTCACAGTGGTCATGCCCTCCACCACCACCAGGGGGCTTTTATTTTTTCCTCCAAAAATGGCAAATAAATAGCATCCTATCAATATAACAGTATAACGATATGTGCCCCAGGTTCTTTGGAGCCTCATCTGACATTTTTGAAAAGTAAGTAGCTGGGAATGAAAGCTCAGAATTCAGCCCTGACCTGGATAGCCCAGGCAAGCCTGATCTCGTCAGATCTTGGAAGCTAAGCAGGGACAACAGTACTTGGATGGGAGGCTTCCTTGGAATACCGGCAGTCGGGAGGACAAGGGCAGGCTTTATTCAGCCATCTCTGAATATCCTCCACGGCACCAGTAGGGGTCAGTCCCCAGACATCGACATGACTTCCAGGTGCAGACACACACACACAAAATACAAAAAAAGAGAAAGAAAGCTGGGAATTCAAAGATACAGTGGTATAATGCTTTTCAATCGTCAGTTTTTCTTTTAAAGCCCATGACATTCCAGGAAATGAATGGTCATTACTCCCAGAATTTCAGGAATGCTTTGCATCGTTTCAGGTGTCCGTGAACTGACCCAAAACAGCTATATTTGGGTATAATTTTGGCTTGGGTATATCAGAATGCACTCACCTGGCCTTTCCTTGTGGTGGGCTAGGCCACCATCGGGCTGTCCAAATATGAATTGTATCTGATCTGGAGGGTTAAAACACCCTCAATTGACGAACATAAGAACATAAGAGAAGCCAATGTTGGATCAGGCCAATGGCCCATCCAGTCCAGCAGTGTCACACAGTGGCCAAAAATACCAGGTGCCATCAGGAGGTCCAGCAGTGGGGCCAGAACTCCCAGAAGCCCTCCCACTGTTGCCGCCCCCCAAGCACCAAGAATACAGTGCATCACTTGCCCCGGAGTCCCTATCTATACCTTGTGGCTAATAGCTACCGATGGACCTCTGCTCCATATGCTCATCCAGTTCCCTCTTGAAGCTGCCCATGCTTGCAGCCGCCATTTCCCTTACCATCTTCTCTCTCTGGTCTCGTTACTCACCCTTCCATAGCCCATTACTAGGATGAGGGATCTGACCTTTCCACTGAGGCTCCACAAGGTAACACAGCAAAAATGAGTCAGTCTTTAAGGTGCCACTGGATTTTTGTTTAATTTTGCTAGACTATGTTAACCCCTCATTATCAGAGAGAGGGAGTATCAGTGTTCAGGTGACTACTGAAAACGCCTTGCTCTTAGTGAATGCCAGTCAGGTGTTCCCTCTGTTGGTACCTGGAGCCATGCAGATCTTAATGAGTGGGATACAGGGTTGCCAAATCTGGATTGGGCAGTTCTTGGAGATTTGGGGGTGGAGCCTGGGGAGGGAGGGACCTTAGTGGGGTATTAATGTCATGGAGTCCACCCATGCCCCGCAGGAGACTAGCCACCCTGCTCCAGGGGAACTGATCTCTGCAGTCTGGAGATCTCCATGCCCCGCAGGAGGCTAGCCACCCTAGTGGGACAGCATGTATAGAAGCAGGCAACTTCCCACAGGTACGCTTTAGGAAAACTGAGTCTGATTCAAGTTGTGGGGGAGTGAGTGACTGAAACTTGGTATAAGGTTTTTGAAGCCAGTCTTAACTCCTTTCTTCGGGGGGGAAGTTTTAGCTCCTGGTGTTGAGTGTTACAGTTGGACTTCAGTTCATAAAAAACATCAGGAGAGCCCAACCAGATCAGACCAAATGTTGAGCACTGTGTTGATTTTTCTAGTTGGTGCTAGCTGGATATTATCCTTAAGAAAGGCTGTTAAGCATGGCATAGTGGTTGTGGTGTGAGACCAGGGTCTAGGAGCCTTGGATTCAAGTCTACCCCATTCACCTCTGAAGGCCACTGGGTGATCTTGGGCTGGTCACTCTCTCTCAGACTAACCTACGTCACAGAGTTGTTGTGAGGATAAAAGGGGGACGGGAGAGCCGTACACACCACTCTGAGCTCCTTGGGGGAAGCATGGGACGATCGTTTGGATACATAGATGTGAAAGTAAAGTTTTCTCTTGTTTTTTATCCATAGTACCTGAGACTTTGTCAATATACTGCTTCTAAACATGGAGGCTTCGTTACGTATTGTGGTCGCTAAGTTTCCACTGGTACACCTATCCACCATGAATTGATCCAAATCTTTTTTCAAACCTATTTGCCACCCTCATATCTTTCGGCGGCAAATCCCTCAAGTTAATTTTTGCATTGAAAAGCTGGGCTTCGTGAACTTCACGATACTTTAAAATTATGACTTATTTCACTGAACATCTTGGCTTATAGTCTCATTTCTCTCTCTCTCTCTCTGTCTCTTTCAAAGCCCTTGCTCTAAAACAAAGGCTAACAAGAGATTTTCCGGCTATGTAAGTGGAGAAATGTAGGATGCTTTGTTATTTTTCAAGAAGAAGTGAAATTCTTTATGAAATACGTTTTCTGAAAGAACAGAAAGGTGGGATAAGAACAGTTCGACGAAGAAGCTTATCTGTCGTACGGTAGCCATGCAGGGTCAGGGAGAACGGAATTCAACTGTGTATCTCTTGGCAGAGACGGGGAATTATTTATCGGGCGATGCAGAGATAACTGCGCTGCCCGTGTCTGACTCTTCCTTCTTTGGTCTTGTGAGAGACAAGAAGGAAATTTGTAGGTGTGGGGAGTCTTGTAAGCTCTCTGGTTTCAGCTTTGGGTGAATTCTATCTCAGACGAGGAGTGTTTCTTTCCCATAATACAAGGTAGCACTATCAGCTCTGCCGTCCCAGTGTTCGTTGGGGCTGGGAATTTGTCAGACAGGTCTTCCTTTGGATGATTTTTGAAAAGAAAGAAGGTGGTGGTGGTGGGAGGACTCACCACAACCCAGAGGATGGTTTCATGATGTTTCTGGGATGTCAGATTTCATGTTGTGGCTCATCTACTGCAGAGTTATGGAGCTGGTTATACGTATGAAAAATTCTGTGTACGTCCTTCACAATTTGATGGATGCAAACAGGACAAGTAGTCCTTTCACGGCCTGTGGGGGAAGTAGGGATGCTAAGTCCTCCATGGCCTCCGGCGTGGGGTGTGGGGGAGGGTTGCCAGCTCCAGGTTGGGATACTCTTGGAGATTTGGGGGTGGAGCCTGGGGAGGACAGGGACCTCCGTGAAGTACAGTGCCATACATAGTCTGCCCTCCAAAGCGTCCATTTTCTCCAGGGGAGCTGGTCTCTGTAGTCTGGAGATGAGCTGTTACTCGGAGGGATTCCCCAGGTTCTACCTGGAGGCTGGCATCCCTAGGGAAAAGGGGTGGTTGCCTCACCAAAGGAATGTTACTTATCCTCGCTCTGAACTCGTTCGCTGTGCAGAGGATGGGTGTGGATGAAACACTGCTTCTGTGTAGGATGGGTCTCAGGGAGTCCTGTGAGGCTGTTATGAGACAGGACTTTCTGGTATTTGCACAAGATCTGATGGGAAGGCTTCTTCCAATCTCTAAAGGTGTTTTGCAAGACGAACACCATGTTGTGTGATGTTGGGAGGGGGCACACGATCCTTCTTTGAGGCTGCAAAAGAGGAGTATTCAGAAAATGATCCGTACTTGCAAATCCCACACAACACTCTCATGAACTATACCTTCTGCCCTTCCATAGCCCCCCCCCTCCTGTAGCAAACACCAATTGGCCCATCCTGCTGGGTTAGTAAAGCTTCACAGTGAACCACTGTTTCTTCCCTCACCCCCAGAATTGGTATTTTGGGGGTGTTTCATACACAAAGGCCAAGATTTAACATCCATAGCTTCCATCTCTGTGGAACAAATCAGGTGCACGAGGCAGAGCTTGGTGCCAAGGTTGCGTTCCTCACCCACAGAGTTAGGTTGCCAGGTCCTCTCTGGTCACCAGCAGGATGGTGGTGGTGGGGTAGGGTTGCTAAATCCAGGTTGGGAAGCTCCTGGAGATTTGGGGGTGGAGCCTGGGGAGGACAGGAACCTCAGTGGGGTACAATGCCATAGAATGCACCCTCCAAAGCATCCATTTTCTCCAGGGGAACTGATCTCTGTAGTCTGAAGATGAGCTGTAGTTCTAGGAGACCCTCAGACCCCACCTAGAGGCTAGCATCCCTAGTAGGTTTGTGTCAACATGTCGTTGCTTTCTGTTCCTACTGGCTCCTAATGAGGTCAGTCTGCCATCTACAAGGTAGACAGTGGGCCTTATATGGCTTTTCCATACTCCCATATCCGTACTGCTGCATCACATTGGACAAGTGCCTTCACTGTTGAAGGGGGTGCTTGGAATGTACATGACTCAGGAGCCTTGCTGTGTTCTAATCAGTGCTTGGCGGGGAGCGCCCTCTGTGCATGCCTCCGTCAGTCCTGCATTGGAAGAAATCAGGGGTCGTTTCGTAGAAAAAGAGCTAGGGGAACTCATTAGCATAACTCATTAGCATACGCCACACGCCCTGACATCACTGGAAGTGTGTCATAAGGCCACAACCCCTGACATCACCGGAAGTGTGTCCTAAGGCCACACACCCCGCCCCCAACGGTCCCGG